ACTTTGCAAGCGCGCAACCCCGATCCTCAGGCAGGCTTGCCACCGGTTCCCATTTCAGTGGAAACCTTTCCCCCGAGTTGCACGCTCAGAGTCGGGGCCGCCCGGTTCCCAAAGGCCACCCCGGTCCCCCCTGGGCCAGCGGGGAAGGGGGGGGGTTGCAGTGAAAACCCCACGGAGGTCATCTTCTTCTCTGACTCGGGTGGGTCCGACTTACTCGCGGGGAATCGTACGGCGGACCAGGCTGCCACCGGCAGCAGCCATGTCAACTGAGGCGGGTTGCACGGAGCTCGAGGCTTAAAGGCTTTGCAGATCGCATGTCTTTATCTCTCGGTTTCAGTCCCAAATTAGGCATCCTCCGGTCAGGTTTTTTCTTCTTCTTCTCGGTAATGAAAAGAAAAAAAGAGAGGAAAAAAAGAAAACTCCCCCCCTCCCCCGCCCATACAGTGTTTTTCAGATTTGGCAACTTTAAAGATAAGTGGATTTCAGCTCCCAGGATCCCCCATCCGGCATTCTCAAATAATCCCAGATAGGTTTAAAAATGCATTTTCCTTTCCTCACTTGGCAGCTCCATGCCTAAGGTAGGACTCGAACTCACCATCTCCTGGTTTCTAAGGTAGGGCTCGAACTCACCATCTCCTGGTTTCTAAGGCAGGACTCGAACTCACCATCTCCTGGTTTCTGAGGCAGGACTCGAACTCACCACCTCCTGGTTTCTGAGGCAGGACTCGAACTCACCATCTCCTGGTTTCTGAGGCAGGACTTGAACTTACCATCTCCTGGTTTCTGAGGCAGGACTCGAACTCACTGTCTCCTGGCTTCTAAGGTAAGACTCGAATTCACCATCTCCTGGTTCTAAGGTAGGACTTGAACTCACCGTCTCCTGGTTTCTAAGGCTGGACTCGAACTCGCCGTCCCCTGGTTTCTGAGGCAGGACTCGAACTCACCGTCTCCTGGTTTCTGAGGCAGGACTCGAACTCACCGTCTCCTGGCTTCTAAGGTAAGACTCGAATTCACCGTCTCCTGGTTTCTGAGGCAGGACTCGCACTCACCATCTCCTGGTTTCTGGCTCTCACAGCTAACATTATATCCTTAGTTAAGTCACCTGTGTGTGAATTGAGCGGCCGCATAAATTTATGAAATAAATAAATAAAAGTCTTCTAAAGTGCACCTCCCTTCAATATATATGTGTGCGTGTGCGTGTGTGTGTACACAAAGTTCTAGCTGTTACACACACACACACACACACACCAGCCCCGTCTGTAAGATGTTCCACCCTTCTGCTCTCTGGAGTATGAAATCTCCTATGCAAATAAATTGCGGGGAAAATAACCTTTGCTTCCCTCTTCATCTGCCGTGTCATCAAATTGTCCCGTCGGCTGGGATTAAGCAGCCGCTGCCTTGGGAGGAACCTGGGGGGGCTGAGCACGGCCTTCGCCTCACCCTCCCACGACCTGCGACCCCCGCCCCCCAAAAAAGAAAACCCCAACCGGAGACAGGGAAAAAATGGCCACTCGCTTCCACCGAGCAGCTGCGGACGGCAACCTGGAATTACTGAAAGAAGCCACCCGAAAGGACCTCAACACCGCCGATGCGGATGGCATGACGCCCACACTCCTGGTGGCATACCACGGCAACGTGGAAGCTCTGGAAATCGCCTGCAGGCGGGGGTGAGTGGGGGGTGGGTCAGGCTTGGGGGCAGATTTAACAGATCATCAGAGTTGGGAGGGACCTTGTAGGTCATCTAGTCCAACCCCCCCCCCGCCCAAGCAGGAGACCCTACACCATTTCTGACAAATGGCAGTCCAGTCTCTTCTTGAAAGCCTCAAGTGATGGCGCTCCCACAACTTCTGAGGGCAACTTCTGTTCCATGGGTGGATTGTTCTCAGCGTCAGAAAGTTTCTCCTTATTTCCAGGTTGAATCTCTCCTTGATCACTTTCCATCCATTATTCCTTGTCTGGCCTTCGGGTGCTTTGGAAAATAGCTTGACAGATGTATTATTTTATTATTTGATTTGATTTGTCAATCACTTACAAGATAATAGTTATAAGTATAAACATGAGTAAGAATACAGGAATTAGATACGAATAAATGGGGACAGTAGGACAGGGACAGTAGGCACGATGGTGAACTTATGCACGCCCCTTACAGATATTTTAAGAACAGGGTGAGATCAATGGTAGATAGTTTAAGGTTAATGTTTGGGGGGTTAGAGGATGTAACAACAGAGTCAGGTAGTGCATTCCAGGCATTGACCACTCGGTTGCTGAAGTCGTCCTTTCTGCGATCAAGTTTGGACCAGTTAACATTGAGTTTGTATCTGTTGTGTGCTCTTCTTGTACTGTTGCGGTTGAAGCTGAAGTAGTTATTGACGGGGTGGGATTCAATTTTTTCAACAACCGGTTCTTTGGGCATGGCTTAGATAATGGGTGTGGCTTGGTGGTCATGTGACTGGCTGGGCGTGGCCAACTCAACATCACTCACATCGAGGCATGCATCTCCTCACCTGGCCTCTCATGACTGTGGGGATGCTGCAATAGTCGTAAGTGTGAAAAATGGTCATAAGTCACTTTTTTCAGTGCCATTGTAACTTTGAATGGTCACTCCACAAAAGCAAAATACCAGCAAAGGAGGGGAAAAAGACTCCAGAGAAGTTCCTGAGACAGGAAGTCTAGTCCTGCCAAGAATGTAATAAGGGTTAACGGAGAGGCAGTTTCTGTAAGCAACACCAGAATGTTTCCTTCCTGCCTTCCTTACAGGATTAGCCCAGTAATTTCTTTTAACAACCGGTTCTCCGAACTGCTTGGAATGTTAACAACCGGTTCTAGCGAATAGGTGCGAACCTGTAGAATCCCATCCCTGGTTATTGACTGGTAGGACATTGTAGCAGATAATTTTGCGTACTATGTACTTAATGTTGTGTACTATGGCATAGTTCAAGGTTGTCCAAGCCCAAAATCCCAAACCTGGTGATATAGGGTATTCTGTTCTGAGCAGAGGAGTGTAGTACTCTTCTCGTGAAATACTCCTGGACTCGCTCAATGAATCAAACGAGTTGGTTCACACAGCGCTGTGTGAACCAACTTGTAGACTTGGGGGGAAGCTGAGCTGCCTAGGCCAAAGGCTGGATAGCGGAACCCCAAGTTCTCCTTCGCATCCTGGAGGTGGCACCTGATCCCAATGGGCAAGCATTCTCACATGTCTCGAAGGCTGTTGGCAAGGTTGCGTGTAAGAGTCTGGGGTTAAAAAGTCTTCGAGGGTTTGTGGAAACAGTGCAAGGTTCAAACAGTGAAGGGAGAAGTTCACCAAATGGGAGGAGGAAGTGCCGCCATTCCCCGCTCACTTTTACATAGGGGGTGTGTTTTTTATTATTACTTATCGTAGGCAGTAGCTAATAAATGTGACCTTTAAACATTCAGTTGTTTGGCAGCCATATTTATATAGCTGGTGCTGCAGACAAACATGCTTCAGCTCCTTCCGAGTCATTGATTGAAATCGGGGAATCTTTTGCAAAGGCGAATTGGGTTGAATTTATTTATTTATTTATTTTATTTTGTCAAACAACTATTAGACAACACGTATAAGTATAAACATGGTAATAAGCACATGAAATGGATGCAAACAAGAAAAAAAGAAACAATAGGACAGGGACGGTAGGCATGTTGGTGCGCTTATGCATGCCCCCTTAGGATGCAGTTCTAGAACATAGAATAATTGAGTTGGAAGGGACCTCAGAGGTCTTCTAGTCCAACCCTTTGCTTGGGCAAGACAACCCTGTATCATTTCAGACAAATGGTTGTCCAATCTCGTCTTATGTTGTCTTGACGAGGCAGTTGAGTTGTTTGATCATGAACAACTGAATCATGATGATCTTTATCGGAGTCTAGCCTTGCATTTATACACATTTTTGGTTATCCTCCATCACTGGTTAACTTTGGTTACTGCTTAACTTTCATTACTGTTTAGCACAGTAATCCATACAATTAATTATCTCTAGTTAAAGTCTAACATATGTTTACTTCCTCTCTCTAATCCTCCTTTAGATTAGTGACTTTGTTTACCTGAGTTGTATTTGCTTGGAAACATTCTTTATCAGAGGTTTGCCATCCGAGATTGGAACATTCCTGCAATTACAACTCTACAGTTTTAAAAGCCTCCAGTTGATGGCGCAACCACAACTTCCGAAGGCAAGCCATTCCATTGAGTAATTGTTCTCACCTTTAGGAAAATTTCTCTTTAGTTTTAGGCTGCTTCTCCCCTTGATTAGTTTCCACCCATTGCTTCTTGTCCTGATTTCAGGTGCTTTGGAGAATAGCTTGACTCCCTCTTCTTTGGGGCAGCCCCTCAAATACTGGAAGACTGCTCTCATGTCTCCCCTGGTCCTTCTCTTCCCTAGATTAGCCATGCCCAGTTCCTGTAACCGTTTATCGTATGTTTTAGCCTCCAGTCCCCTAATCATCCTTGTTGCTCTTCTCTGCACTCTTTCTAGAGTCTCAACAATTTTTTTATATTGTGGTGACCAGAACTGGAACCAGAAGTAGTTTGCATTGAGTGTGTGAATCCAGTTCAGGTAATACCTAATGACCTCCTTAGGAGAATAAAACAAATAGGGAAAGAAATGTGTACATTCCCCTGGTTTCTTTTCTTTCTTTCTTTTTTTTTTTTTGGAAGAATGGGGAAAAAAGGAGATAATTTAAGTGATGTTCAGTTAGCATTTTCCCCATGGGAACTAATTATTAAAGAAATCTTGCTCTAAGCCTCTGGATTTAAAATTCAAAAGAAGAGACCTAAACTGGCTTCTGATTTTAGAAAAGAATTCTTTGGAAAGTTACACATTTTTGCCACTGTCCTTTTGCAGGCAATAAATGGGATCCGGGGCCTTCCCCCTTGGACTGAAACCCCTGCACTGAAAAATGTAGAGTATCAGGGAACATGTTTGCGTGGAATTATCTTCTTGAGATGATGCTGGTTGTTTTACTTGCAGGGAAAAAAAATGGCAATCTAGAATATCCATTTTATCACATCAACTTCTGTCCTTTCTTATAATCTTTGCAAATTGGTCTTTGTGTCAGCGTCCCCATCCTTGTGACCTATAGTTACAGTAATCCTTGATTAGAACTATTAGTTTAGTGACCATTCAAAGTTACAACGGCAACCAAAGAAGTGACTTATGACTGTTTTTCACTCTTAGGACCATTACAGTATCCTCATGGTCATGTGATCAAAATTCAGGGGCTTGGCAACTGGCATGTACTTGTGACTGTTGCACTGTCCTGGGGTCACGTGATTTGTAACCTTCCCAGCCGGCTTCCAACAAACAAAGTCAACGGGGAAAGCCAGATTCCCTTAACGACCGGCTGGTTCGTTTAACAAACTGAAGTGATTCACTTAACAACTGTGCCAAGCCAGGTCATAAAACGGGGCAAGACTCGCTTCCCAACTGCCCAGTTTAGCCATGGACATGTTGGGCTCAATTGTGGTGGTGGAGGACTAACTACCTGTATGTGTATGTGTGTGTGTGTGTGTGCGCGTCTGTGCATCTGTGTGTCTGTGTGGAGGACTACCTGTATGTGTGTGTGTGTCTGTGTGGTGGACTACCTGTATGTGTGTGTATGTATGTGTGTGTGTGTGTGTGTGTGTGTGTGTGTGTGTGTGTAGGACTACCTGCATGTGTGTGTGTGTGTCTGTGTGTGTGTCTGTGTGTGTGTCTGTGTGGAGGACTACCTGTATGTGTGTGTCTGTGTGTCTCTGTGTGTTGCACTTCAGCTCCCATAATCCCCAGCCAAGTAGCCTGGGGATTATGGGAGTGGGAGTCCCGTACATCTGGAGGACTCCTATTTGGGAAAAAGAAAAAAAAAAGCTGCTCTCCAGGAAAATGAGGGAGACCTGAGTCCTTTGTGTCGTTGTGTCCTTTTCAGAGGTGATCCCAACGTGTGTGACATTTGGGGAAACACACCACTGCACCATGCGGCCTCGAACGGCCACACCCCCTGCGTCTCCTTCCTGATCAATTTCGGCGCCAACGTTTTCGCCCTCGACAATGACATGCGCTCGCCCCTTGACGTGGCGGCCAGCCGGAGCCAGTATCCATGCGTCCAGATCCTCGACAAGGCAGCCACTGAGCAGAACGCCAAAAGCCCCAAGCGCGTCGCTCGCCTGAAGGCCCAGGCCCAACGCGACGTCCCACGACAAATCCGCCTGTGTGAAAAACGCCAAGAGAAGCACCAGCTTGAGATGACCAAGCGGTTCCACAAAGGATCTGTCCCGTTGGGCCACAGCTCCGCCACCAGGGCGAAAGTGTCTCACTTCTTCGCCACCGGTTCGCTCAGCGACGTCCCCAAACAGTTGAAGGACACCTTCAAACTGAAGACCAGGAAGAAAGAGGAGAATGGCACAGCCGGCAGCCGTGGAGCAGAGAAGGAGGGCTTCGCGGAAGAAACTGCCGTGATGGATTCTGAGAAGGTAGAAGATCTGATGTGTGGCTTTCGAAAGAAGATCGGCTTTTCGGAAGAAGCAGAAGAGGACTTGGGACAGAGGTCTATTTTCAACCGCCCAGGTCTGGGCAACCTCGTCTTTAGAAGCCAGAAGACGGAGACCTTGCTTTCTGAGAAAGAAGACAGGGCCTTTCAAATCCCGGAGCTCTTTCATCTCAAGGAGACACTTGATGGTTCAGACCATGAGGATGACCCTGACGTCTCCTGGATGGAAGAAGCAGGTGGGTGGGATGAGGACAAAGAAGAAGCCCCTCCCCTTGAAGTGTTCCTGGTCGCCTATCATCTCCACGACTTCCTCCCCATCCTGATGAGGGAGAACATTGATTTGGAAAGCCTGATGCTTTGTTCCGATGAAGATCTGCAGAACATCCAGATGCAGCTGGGGCCTCGCAAGAAAGTTCTCCATGCCATCAGTAAAAGGAAGCTAGCTTTGGAAAAGCCAGGTTTGGTCAGGGACACCCGATTATAAACCAAGAATGGTTCTTCCGGTCAGTGATTTGCTACCCACTCCACAAACGGTTCTCTTTTTTCACACCAGGATGACATGGGACCGAAGATGACCTCTATGCAATCCCCACAACCAGGGGTGGGATTCGACCTGGTCAGACCAGTTCTATAGAACCAGTTGTTATGATTCTGCCCAGTTTGGAGAACTAGCAAATTGTGCTACTGGCTGGCCCCTCCCCTCCCTTGCCCACTCACTCCTTACCTGGCATACGCATCATCAAACTTGCCTGCTAAAAGTTGCTATTTTTACTTTTTTTCCCCCCACAACCATCAGCTGTTCTTTTGTGCCGGGAGATTTAGATTAGCTAGAAAGCAGGACATCGTTGGATTTCTTGCTTTCTAGCTAATCTAAAAGCAGAGCTGAACCTTCCTTAGGACTGAAGCTTCTATTTTTCAGTGCAGACTCAGGCAGCAGATTGCAGAAAGGTAGATCTCTGAGTGAATCTGTGATTCTGTGAGCAGCTCAATCTGCCTGCCTGCTTTGCCTCATTTGGGGTATAAAAGTTGCTCTTTCTTTAAATAAAAAACTCAATATTTACATAAATATTTACAATATTTACATATAAGCCACACCCAGCCAGTCACATGATCACCAAGTCACACCCACAAATTAGGCCATGCACACAGAACCAGTTGTTAAGAAATTTGAATCCCACCCCTGCCCACAACCTCTTGGCTTCAACATGGCCAAGTAGCCATGGATTCGGAAGAGCAGGATGAAGAAACCTTGAGGTTAAACTCTTGTAGGAGGAGGTGTGGCAGAACTTGGGGGTGGTGTTAAAAGAGGGGTCAGCCTAGAATCTCTACGTAGCCGCAAGCCAACTAAGTCCAACCTCCCTTGAGTGCCGTTGATGTTTTTGTTGAACAACAAAAATGAATGCTTGGGAAACGTGATTTTCTGAAATGTTCCTTTTATTTTTGTTACAAACTGCAGTATAGAAAATACAATTGACACCAATTCTGCACCAATATTGATTAACAACATTTAATTTTGTCTACTATTTTTTTTTTTTAGAAAAAAGGCAGTAAAATTTTCTTGACCACTTTGAAAACCTGTTCTGGACAATTTCTTATGATTGTTGACTGTCTATTCGTCAGTAATAAAAAGGAAGGCAAACGTTATCCATTAAATGCAAACGTTATGTGAAAATAGTTACATTTTAAGCAGAAATCAATCCTTAGATTTCTAGATCTATAATCTTAGTTCTAAAATTATTATTTCAGAGAGAAAATCTGAGACAAAGGTCATTGACCCAAATAGTTAAAAGTTAAGTTTTGGAATCTCTGAACAAATAAAAATGAAATTACAGGCTAATAAAGTGAACAATTTAGTAGAACTAATAATGTTGCCTTCAGGAGATGAGACTCTATGTTTATCCTTAGGACGTTGTAAACTTTGAATTAAAGTCACTGTCCAAATACATGGAAAGAACACGATTCACATTAGAATAATTAGATAAACCAGTGTTTCTGAAATGCAGCGACTTTAAAATGTATGGACTTCAACTCCCAAAACTCCCCAGCTAACTTAAAGCTTGCTGGTTGGTGAATTCTGGGAGTTGAAGTCCACATATCTTAAAGCTTGCTAGCTGGGAGTCCACATATCTTAAAGGTTTGCTGGTTGGGGAATTCTGGGAGTTGAAAGTCCACATATCTTAAAAGTTTGCTAGCTGGGGAATTCTGGAAGTCCACATATCTTAAAAGTTTGCTGGTTGGGGAATTCTGGAAATTGAAGTCCATATATCTTAAAGCTTGCTAGCTGGGGAATTCTGGAAGTCCACATATCTTAAAATTTTGCTGGTTGGGGAATTCTGGGAGTTGAAAGTCCACATATCTTAAAGCTTGCTGGCTGGGGAATTCTGGGAGTTGAAGTCCACATATCTTAAAGCTTGCTAGCTGGGGAACTCTGGGAGTCCACATATCTTAAAGTTTGCTGGTTGGGGAATTCTGGGAGTTGAAGTCCACATATCTTAAAAGTTTGCTGGTTGGGGAATTCTGGGAGTTGAAAGTCTACATATCTTAAAGTCGCTAAGCTTCAGAAACAAGGAGAAAAATCATTTGATTCTTTTGTTATATTACTATTTATCTTGCTACTGTAATCTAGTAAGACAGTTTATTGTGCAATATAGGCCATTTTTTGCTCAGAAGTGATCTTCCTTTTTTTTTTTTTTTAATTCTGTGGCTTGAGAGCATCAGAATGTTGCACCCTCATCCGCTGGCTGACCAACCTTCAAAGACCATTTTTCCTGCGATGGTGTCTTCAATGGCCATCCCTGGAAAAGGATTCAAAATCACAGACAATTGGAGGATGAAAACCATCAACCATCATCCCAGTAGTCCTCGGCTTACAACAGTTTAGTGACCGTCCTAAGTTACAACTGCACTGGAAAAAGTGACATATGTCCGTTTTTCACACTTAGAACCTTTGCAGCATCATGTGCTCAAAAGTCAGGTGATTCCTATTTATGACGGTTGCAGTGTGTCCCAGGGGTCACATCATCCCCTTTTGCAACCTTCTGACAAGCAAAATCCATGGGGAAGCCAGATTCACTTAACAACCAGGTCACTAACTTATCAACTGCAGTGATTCCCTTCCCAGTTGTGGCAAGAAAAGTCATAAAATGGGGCAAAAAATTATGTAACAAATAACTCCCTTAAAACAGAAAGTGGAACTAGAGCTCACCCTCTCCTGGTGATTGGCCCATTATCCAGTTGGCTTTCATGCCTAA